ATTAGTATTGGTCTAGGAGTCCTTATTAGTCTATGTTTAGTTTTCTTGCACCTCAAGTCATGTGTAATATATATATGCCCCTTGGGCCTTCAATAAAGTTAAGTTGCTTTCCTAACAGGTGGGTCACTGAGTAGCCGACTAACTGTCCGATTCCCCTATTAATCCCCTACTCGCCAGCCAACCGAGCAGTTACCAGTAAATGATCTCCTTAATGTTGCAACCAACTCATCAAATCTCATGCTTATCTTCTGCAATAGGCATGCTAATTAAACAATATCTTTGTCTTACTACTATATGCAAATCATAGGTTAAGATGTAATTTTGACGAGACACGGCTTGCTTTGGAGGCCAGGAATAATGCCCTTGAGAAACTGCAACAGTCAATGCTTGAAAAAGAGCAGGTACGTACATGTATAAAAAGGGCTTAATAATTTCTCGTTGTTTGAATTGTGGGAAATGTGATCATGTTCTTAAAACAGAAGCGAACATAATCAGTCACATGATCTTGAAGGATAAAAGAGTTGCAGGGGTATACACTTCGAATTCTGAAAATCGTATTAGTACTTCATAGGAGTAAGTGCCAACTGCCAAGATCTCCTACAAAGGTGGAAATGGGGGATAGGTGATGCTGAATGCTGATCGAGTGAAAATAATTGCGTGTTTGGTTGTGTTGCTGAGATTTGTTTAGTTATTTCTCATACTCTGAGTATGCTGAAATAACCAAACAAGATATTAATGTATGCGTACCTTTGGATGTGTATGGTTGATGCTCATGATCGGAGTTAACAATAGTTATTCTGATGAGCTAAAATAATCTGAAGTGGACTGATGTGATGTCTATAAAGATGCTAGAACAAATCCAAAGATCAATGCAGTCTGCGGAAGAAAAGAGGCATGCATCAGTTTCAGAGCTTTCTGCTAAGCATCGCAAGGTAAGGAAAGAGAAGCAGGAAGGACATTTGTAAATGTGAATATGCAAAAGTATTAGTATTTAGGGTAATCCAATCTGGCTTCTTTCTTCTCTTAAGCAATTAGAGAGCTTGGAGGCACAGCTAGCTGAGGTTTCTGCAGAGAGGACAAAGGCATCCAAAACTATTCAATCACTGCAGGTATTAATTCGAGTGAAAAGTTATCTTTGTGCAGCATTGTATCATAGACTAAGTTATATCCTGTGTCTGCCACTTGAGTGTTTTCAAACATTACTGTTTTCTTATGTGATACGTTGTTGTCAAAGTATTCTCTAGCTGAAGAAGATAAGCCTCAACATGCTGGGAATAAGAGGTGGATTAAATAGAACATCCATTGTCTATTGGAATATTTGATTTATAGTTAAACTGTTCCAGATGGTACTCGCGGAGAAAGATTCAAAAATAACCGGAATTGAAGCAGCATCAACCGGTGAAGCTGCCCGGCTTAAAGCTACCTTGGAGGAGATTAAAGGCGAGCTTACTCATTTAAAGGACCAACATGTATGTCAGCCTATCTTGTACCAACTCTTCCCATTGATAGTTTTTAATATATTAGACACCAAACTTGTAGGTATCTTCAATATCAATAGCACATATGCTGATTATTATCTTGTGGAAACAGTGAGCATCCAGAAATTGTGGTAAAAATACTATTTATTCACATATGCTGATCATTTTTAGTGGTTAGCCTAAGTTCAAATTTTGAAACAGCTATAGTTCACAAGAACTTGCCATGTTACTTCATGTTCTGTCCATGTAACCTTGTTTCTGAGTATACCTACCTGCCTGGCTTGATTTAGTTTCTGTCTTGTAGATTAACTCACCCTATGAGTTTGTTCAATCAACTTATTAAAATGTCGAGTAGGTAGTATTTTTTGTCACCATGCATCAGTAGAATATTTTAGACTTTAGTTAACTTCCCCTTGAAACAGCTTTTACTGCTGTATGGTTAACACATTTTTTTATGATGTCTTGGAGTTGGAGGCACTAACCAAAATTGTCCCAACTGATAATCATTCAGGAGAAAGAAAGACAAAGCTGGGAAGCCGAATGTGAATCCCTTAGAGAAAAATTGGAAGCATTGGAAAGTGCGCGCTTTAGATCTGAGATAGAATCTGCCAAATTTAGAAGTAAGTCTGCCCCAAACTTTCTATTTTAATTTTGGAGTAATACATTTATACAGATATTTGGATATTCTGCAGATCAATTGGAATCAGAGTTGTCAACGCAAAATCAATTGCTTCAAAACAAAGATTCGGATCTAATTTCTGCGAAGGAGGAGGTGCATTTTATTTTAAATCTTATCTTATCCAAAAGTTTGTACCTGCACTGGAAGCTTTCTGTCCCTACTTCGTAGAAGTTAGGTACTGATAACACAGGTCCTACCTCCTGGCACCACCATTGGTTCTTAAGTCGGTGACAACATAATACTTTATCCGCTGTGGTTTGGATTTGCTGCGAAGGTCGTATGGGTAGTTTGGTAGAGGAGACAGACACCCAGTTTGGCGATATTTATAATAAGTTGGGGATGGAATATATAAGAGATTACTGTAGCGGAGACCCTGGCAGTATAATAAGTAGGAACCCAAATTCCCCACCCAAGTGAGCTAGGCTCACTTCTTTAGAAGAGATTTTTGGTGCTTGCCTTGTAATTATAATGCTGACTCTTTTGTATGGATATAGGATGCAACCAATACACTGGACTCTTTAACACGTTCAAACTTCTAAGATATGGATTCATAACACTGTAACTAATTGACTTTGTTCATATTCCAACCGGACTCGTCTTGGTTAACACTTCCTAACACGTGATGGTTGCACCAGTTAGCTCTGCATGTCTGGGTATTTTTCTTGATGGTATGTTCCATAGTTGACAGCTCTGATAGCCAGAGTATGAGTCCATAACAATATAATGCATTGTTGCCTCATGCATTGCAAGTTGGTTGTGTTCCAAATGGTGGACCTGAGGACTTTCCTAGGGTTGCGGTTTAGGATGGAGTACAGAGGCAGTAACACAATAAAATAAACATGGAGTTCCTCTGAACTCATCAGGTAAGTACTTAATTAATAGTATAAGCTGCAATATTTCTGTTTGGACCGAAGATGGCGACCTGTACCAGTTCTGCAGTTAAGAGGTCAGCCAAGAATAGCAGAGCTAGCCGGAGTATAGGGAGAAGCATGTTTGGATATGTGTTTACAAGGGTTTATTCACAGATAGGCTGGTAAAAAAAGGTAGCCGGAAAAGAGGTGAGTAGAAGTTGATGAAATGTCTGTCTAGTATAACTTTAATAGGTAACAAAACCTGACAGTGCCTTTACTATGAGAGATTGAACTAGTGAGGAACCACTGTGTCTATTTTCCTTAGTGTTCTGGTTATGCGATGATTCTTTTTAAGCCTAAAATGGCATAGGATATATTATTGACCCAGTTATTACGACACTGCCTTGTGTTTAAAAGCTTCACTGACTTGCAGATGCGAAGACATCATTTAAACATGCTGTAACTAGCACTTATGACAAGAACTCAAAATTTAGCATTTTAAACTTTGCAGATCAGTCGACTAGAAAGTGAGTTTTCCGCGTACAAGATCCGTGCACATGCACTTTTGCAAAGGAAGGATGCTGAGTTGAGCGCAGCTCAAAATTCAGATGTTCTTAAAGCACATGAAGAAGCAATAAGAGTATGTCATCAATTGTTTGGTAGATGTGTAATGTAACCAAATATGTCACAACTTATTTAATCAATCACCAGTGCTGTAATGTAGGAAGCTGAAAAGGAGGTGGCAGCTGCCTTAGAAGAACGAGATGAAGCGATCCAGGACCTTCAAGTTGCTCAATGCAGGCATAGTGAAGAGATTGAGGCAAGGTATATCAGCTTAACTTCGTTGATGTTCTTAAATTGAAATGACGTCCATAACTAAAATGGTTATGCTTCCGGAAATTCTTCCAAGATACTACTTGGTGGTTACTGAATTACTCTTTAGTGATCTAAAACGTCTTATATTTGTTTACAGAGGGAGTATTATTTAAAAAATGAACTAACTTCCTAGCCTGTGTATAGTAGTAGCCCACCTTGTTTGTAATACTACTAATTGTGACAAAAAAATCCGAATGGTATTCAGAGCACTACTAGAGTCGCTTGACTAATCTATGAGTCAGTACTTGGGTCTCAGCTGGACATCCTGACTCGACTGATTGGACTAGTCGAGAGTTGTTGACCTGTTGGCTGTTGCTGATTAGTCAAGTATAAGTAGTCGCTTGACATATTGTGCTGTGCACGGATAGAGTGTGTTCATGTCGGTCCGTGCCCACTCCGAAGGGGATACGCCTCCGATCGAGCCTAGGGGATCAAACCTAATGCGTTCAGTAGTATCTTGTAAGTAGCAGACTAGCAGTATGTAGAGATGAGCAGTATCTAGCATGTGCAGTGCGTACATGTACTCATATCAGCTGTGCGACATGTACTCATATCAGCTTCTTATGAAGTTATGATTCGCTTCTGGGTTCCGCTTGAGCATGTACTTTCTTACAAGTGCCTCTAATAATCTGATAGCAAGATGTTTTTTTAACGGAAATAGCAAGATGTTGTGCTTCTGGTTCAGTATGTAGCCATATACTGTTGTTCCCTCCTCCAGTTTTTTACTGTAAAAGACCAGCAGTGTGGTATTTGTATCAAGTATGGTCTTATGACTGGCAGTCGACCAGTTGAGATTGGTCATAGTAGTCATCATGAGTCGAGACTACTTTAGACACTTAGACCTGTCTGCCTTGGCACTACTCCTGTAAGCTGATGCACGGTGATACCATCAATTTATTTTCTGCAAGCAGTTTTTAGTTTGAGAAACATTTTACCTTTACTTAATTTCCTTCCAGGGATTTGGGTCTTGCGGAGTTGGACAAAAAACTGAAGAATGTCATGAAAAAATTAGATTATGTTACCTCTCAATTTCTCTCAGAAAAAGAATCATGGGAGAAAAAATTGGCAAGTGTAGAGGAAAGCTGGAGATGTAAGAGGACTTCAGTGTATTTTCAGAATTCTTTCCCTTTCTCTTTAATGAGGTTCGTTGAACAAATGTATGAACATGGATAATGCAGTAAAATGTGAGTCTATGAAGGGTCAAAGCAATGGCCATGTTGAAGACCACCTTCAGAAGAACCTAGGGGAATGGACACTGAAGTATGAGAAATTGAAGGTTGTTTCCTGCCCTGTGGCATGACTTGTATGACTGAATGTGGTCTTTCCATTCAGTATTTTAATATATTCTTGATTTTTTTAGGAAGAGCATGAATCGTTCCGTGATATTTCTGATAGAATGATTGAAGAGAAGGAACGGGAGATAGCTAAACTTCTCAATGCAAACAAGGATCTTCATCATTCTTTAGAGGCTAAAGCAGCAGTGAGTTATTCTATTAAGCCCATTCATTGCTACCTTTGTTTGCTATATTGAAGCAGGAAAAAGGGAATGAATGGTGGGCACTCCCTGTTATGTTTGTTCTCACATGTTTTTTCGTTTCTATGTACTTGTTGGAAATTCATGTGCAACAGCTAAGAAGGACCCACTGTTAGCTGGTGATTTGCATCATTCATAAAAAGTCCTTTTTACTCCCTTCAGAGTATCGATGTTGTTCGGATGACCCCAAACATTTTTTGGTTCACTTTCCTTGTCCCAAGTTTTATACCGTTCCCTTGACCTCTCATTTTGCATGTATTTTTCATGGCACCGTCTTTTGTCCATGTATCCATCCAAGGCTCAGCCTACAAACACCGTCTTTTGTCCATGCAGCTCAACGGCAGAAGTTCCTCTAAATCACACAAATGAACATATTAACCATCAGATTATGCCACACGAGATCCTAGCAATTGGATTTATTTTTCTTACTCTCTCTCTCTCTCTCTCTCTCTCTCTCTCTGTGATCGAGTGGAACCACATTCTGCTCTCTGATCTCGAGTCTGAGGAAAACCGGAGCCTTGCGCACCTTCATTGTTGCCTCCGATCGAGAAACTTCCCCATGAACCTAATCTGGTTGATGCCCACATTCCACAAACAGGTCTAGGTTCTCACAAAGAGGTCTAGTCTCTCAACTCGACCGTGTCCTTTCTGACGGAGCTGAAGCCGCCACATGGAGGAGAGTGACCATGTAACTGTGAAGTGAGATTGACGCCATCGTCGCCGGAGTCACAGCAGGTGTCTGTTTCAGGTGCACTGTTGGATGAGTGATGTGCGCACCAATGGCGTAGGTTTACTTGGGGCGACTCCAAGTGTTGAACAAAAGACAAGCACAGCCATTTGTTTTGACACAAGTATTCCAGAGACTTCACATTCTAAACTTTCGACTGTGCTACGGCTTGGCTCTTTCTGCTTTGAGGTTTCGCCGATGGAGCCGAAGAAGGACGCGGTGAAGCCAAACTTTAGAACCCCTCCAAAGTGCACTAATATTGGTAGTATTTCATGTCCGGTGAAGTACTTCCAGCGTGCAAGCAAATAAGGTGTTTTTTTGTTTTAAATTAGTCATGTGTGATCAGCGTGGCCGGATGATTAATTAGCTTCCTAATTAAAGAATACTAGAATACAAGGGTCCACATACAAGTCGTGCTAGTTTGTTTTTTTCTCTCTCTCCGAGATGTAAAAGGAGAGGATCGCCGTGTTTGTTTGAGATATCGAGTTGGTTACTAGTTTAGGCCCTTACGGCTGGTGTGACTAGGATATAAAAGGCAGCGTCGTCAGTTTTGTATGCAGATTAGTTTGGGAAGATTGATTTTCTTATCGAGAGTTACAAGAGAAAAGTCCCGGGTCGGGGGCGTCAATATTCTGAGTTTTTGCGATCCTTGATCGGGGATTGTTGCTGCTGCGCTGTCGTGATTAACCTTGGGTTAATTTCGATGCAAGTCTAATCCTTTGGTTTCATGCTATCTCCTTGATCCAAAGGCCAATTCTTCTTCTACGTCTGCTATCTATTTTTTATCCGACCGTCGTTGCCGCCGTTCTTTGTTGTTTTGCCACTACCGTGAAGGATCGGACCAACCAGCGACTCGTCGTCTAGTCGAGTCTTATCAATGAGGAATCGATGGAGATTCTGATGTTGGGCTTAATATTTCCTGGGATTGAAGGAGGTGGCTGGCTGCAAGTTTGAACCAGTGTTGCAGATCTGGCATGTGGCTGCCAACTCACCACTGGCGCCAGATCTGCAATGGGGATGGAGATGGTGCCGGTGGTGCGGGCTCCAGCAGTGCCGGAGCCAGCTGGTCTTTGGAGCTTGGGCAAGGCTTGTGGCTATGTCAGTGCACTTTTTCCAAGAAACACTATCTTCAACCTAGGTGATCATATGACTCAAATTCCGTGAAGTCACCAGCAACATGTTGAGATGCACCAGAGTCGAGCACCCACTCCGGATCAGTTCTGTGAGCAGCTATTGTGGCCTTTTCAGTGTTGCCTTAATTTGTACAGATAAAATGAGCCAAACTTGGAAGACTAGCGTCCTCCTGGCTATCATGTTGTTCGATCTCACATGTATCCTCTACTTCCTGCATCGCTTTGCCGAGGGGAAACAACAAAGCACACGTGTGCTGTCACATACTTGCTGCACATGTCCACAGCAAACCAACGCCATTCGCCATCGCCTCCTCTGCCTCGTGCAGCTCACACCCGCCTGGCACATGTGTCCTCTTCAGGTCATGGTCTCTTCCTAGCCTTTCATCTCCTACACGCCTTCCTCTTTCCTCCTCTGCGTCACATGAACATCCATCATCCAGCCGCACCGAATCCATGACCTCACCACCTGCCATCTTCCTCCCAGGCAGCCACACACAGCAGCTAGCCCTCCTCGAATAACTGCATGCAGCAGCAACACCTCCAACAGAAGCAGCAGCAACACAGGCACCACCAGCTCCTACTCTACACTTCAAGACAGCAGCAGCAGTAGTTCAGCCCTCAGGAGTGCAAACCAGCAGCAGCAGCAACAGAAACAGCAGCAGCTCCTCCTTTTTCTCTAATCAGCACAGCAGCAGCAGCAGCTCTTAGCAGATGCCCTCAGCAGCAGCAGAACCAGTCGCACTCAATCTTTCCTTCTCCACTGTTTTCTTCTCCCCTTCTCAGCAGCTCCAGCAGTTCCTCACACACACACCACCGCTCCAGCAACAAGAGTCAAACTCAAGCCACCGGAGAAGAGAAGAAGAGGAAGATGTCGGGCCACGGCCACCAGTGTTCCCCACAGCTCGCGTGCAGCCACGCCGTGCGCTCCTCACCAGCCGCCTGCCCGAGCTCGCCTGCTGCATGCCGCAGCTGCCCCGCCGTCGTGCAGGTCCGCCACCGCCTTCCCCCTTCCAGTAGGGCCCTGCTGTCGCCCGCGACTAGGCCGCCTCCTGGTCCGATACCATGTTAAGAGAGGAGGAGAGGCGTACCCCGTGGCTTCAGTGTGGTGTAGCGGCGTTTAGCTCCAGACAGGATCGAGTTCCTCTCCTTCTAGCTCGAATACCTCTCTGGGGTATGGACCTGGGCCTCTTGGGCCAACAGTGATGTGCCACACATTCAACAGTTTCAGTTTTGAAAAAAAAAGCTTGCAGAGGTGTTGTGCTTTGAATTTTGTATGGGGTTGCTGTTGAATTGTGCATACAAAGGAAAAGGAGCCGAGGGAAGACCAAGGGATTGATCTAACAAAATATACTGCCGAGCAAATAGTTCAGTGTGATGTGATTGAACTTCAACCATGGCCACCATCCTGCAGCTTGAGGACAAGCTGCTAGTCTGGAAAGGGTGTAGTGTTGTGGACACTAGTACGGTGGATGCGGCCAGCAAGAGGGCCAGGGATATTGCAGCAACAGCAGGTCATGTGCTGGGGAAGGAAAGGAGAAGAGTCCTTTAGGGAATGACATTGTATTAGGAAGTTTAGGACTAGGAGTCTAATTCATTAGAAGTCATATTGTGTTAGGAAAGGTCAGTGGCCTAAGCATCCACTATAAAAGGATGACATGTATCTAGGGTTAAGGCAAGCAAGAACAATCAATCTTATCTCTCCAGTTTATTCTCTTGTCCCAACCTATGTCTACCCAATTCGTCGCAGCCATGCCGTCTGGCTATCTTCAGCATGGTAGTTATCCCATTGTGAATCAAGTTCACAACAGTGAGAGTTTCCTTCTCATATTTCACATTGCAATTACTTGTGAATATATGGAGTTATGTTTTGAAACTGCTGATGAGAGTACTGTATTGATGCTACAGGTCAGCAAACGTGACAATCAAAGCCCAGGTAATTGGTTTTCTCAATACTATATCATTTTCTAATCTCCTTTGTTTTCCCCATCAGTTGAATGGTTAAAATTTGGCACTGTTAACTTTTTTTGCGGATGTTTTGGCACTGTTAACACTATTTGTATTTGCAGGATATGTTAAACAGGATGCACTAAGTATTGAATTGGCTGAGCAGCAAATTCTGGTAATGTTATGTTTCAAATAAACTATTCTCTTAAATGTTCAGTAGGAAATTGTTAGTAAAATGTTGCAAAAATCTAGTGGATATTATCAATTTCTAACCACTGTTCCTGTACTTGGCTATACGAGTGGATTCTCTACCCAGTGGGTAGCTAAGCACGACCTCTATATCATTGGATGTTCTCCATCTCACATTGGCAACTAACTACTTCAAGGTCTTGTTATTGGTCATGTGTGTGTGCCACGTGGCCACAGAGGTGGGGCAGATAGGTACTGTGAATAGCTGGTCATCAGCTGCAATTTGCATAAAAACGATCAACTAAAATGGCATCAAGGGAAAAATAGTCGAATAAAACTTTGTCAAGAATCTATCACACAGCTTAATCAAATTGGCTGAAGAATCCATCACATATTCACACACAGCTAATCCAATAAAACTATATTGAATTCATGCACTATCCAATTACTCCAAAAATCCAAACTGATAGAGAACGGCGGGCAATATATTTCAACACAAACCAGATCCACAGGAGCAGCCACGCAAGGGTTACCAGCATGGTTCCACAAGCTCAGCCCCTGCCCCCCTAGTCCAGGACTGCTGCTGAGCCTTCACTCACCAGGGCCTCATGTCAGGACTGTACCTGTCTCGACAAGGGCCTGATATATTAGTGCCGGTTCAGTTTGTCCAAGCACCTATCAGCCGTCGATCTACGATCTAACGGAAGCTTGAGCCGCGTACTGTCTCGACTTGGGCGGATGTTGGCTGCAGCTCGTTGGCTTTGTATGGCAGCTCAATATTCAAGTGGTCTGATCCGGTCCCCCCCTGGTGTTGGACCTCAGAACCTGTTGGAAAATGTCAGGTTAAAGGTTTGGCCCGTACCTCCCTGGTAGGGTAAAGGGTAACATTTAGGTTCTAGGTTCGGCCCTACCACCTGCAGCTTGTGCTGGGAGCACAATACACCAGTACAGCAGCTTTGTGCTAAAAAAGGGGAGTGCAACAACTAAATCATGACCTGGATTAAGGGCGAAAGACAAAACAAAGAAGGCCACAGGGCTAAAAGGGGCTTGTGCTGAATTTAGAAAACGAACACCTCATGGTCAATGGCATCTTTCTGCTCTTGGCTTGCCATTTGCATCCCGTGCCGGTCGATGTCAATAGCTATGGGAAAGACTTGCAGACCAGCGAGAGAGGAGAGGCGAATTGGAGAGGAACCAGCAGGTGGGCGTGTCGGTGGGAGAGAGGAGAGGCAGAGATGGTAGAGGAACCAGCGGGGACGTGCCGATGGGAGAGAGAAGAGGCAGATGGTAAAAAACCTGCAGGGGGTGTGCCAGTGTGCTTACTCCGGTGGCCGGCCGGCTACCTGCGATCTGCATCTTGCGACGGTGGCGGCGGCGGCTGTGTGTTGCGGATGTGTGTGTGTGGCTGGGTCATAAGGGTTAGTCCCTACTGGAACCTACTGGTTTTGCGAGCCAGAAGGTTACCCTATTGGTAACAAACCCAGGTGCAGCTCACCAGGGCCAATGGGCCGAACCAGACCACGTGAATCTTGAAAGGCAGCACCGATGCCATCTTCCTCTCCGGCTCACACGAGCTCCAGCAAACTCCCAAGAAACCGAAGTCCGAGCTAGTTACATGTATTTAATTGGACATTTGATCTGTAATTTTGCACCCTTGTGATGATGTCCTAGTGTTTTACCCATTCTTTCTTTTCAGTTACACATTCAAGTTATAACACCTCGCTAATCAACAATACTTTGATGAAAACGGGTAACAACGGGGATACGACATCTCACAGTTTTCAGCTTACAATTGTGTACATTTCAGCTTCTTGCACGGCAACAAGCACAAAGGGAAGAAGAATTGAGTCAGTCACATAGGCATATCTTGGCGCTTCAAGTCAGTTTCAGCTTAGCAGACATTTTCGGTGGTTCTGTTCTTTCATTTTTGGTGTGAGCTAAATTTGTTCTTTGCATTGTTCAGCAAGAAGTTGAAGATCTTGAGCGTGAAAACCGTCTTCATGATCAACAGGTGACTTTGAATCTTTCCCTTTTCACACCTAAATTAGTTGTGTAGCTTTGATTGGATGTGCTGATTAATTTAAAAACACAAGATGATCATTCTAGTCATGGTATGTTAAATATGATTTAGTTTTGCAAATTGTGTACCGTATTTTCCAAATATAGTGTGGTATGTGTGTTGACTTTATTCATGGAGTAAAATCAGCAAAACTACATGTATAATGAACTGTCACAAAACTGCGCATTGAAGGTTTCATTTCACTAAACTACACATGGATGGTGCCTGCTAGTGAGTGTATTGTCATCAGTCACGGGGTGGGCAGGGCAGGGCAGGAATTGAAATCAATTATCTACGACCATATTATAACATATAGTTTAAGGGGGAGGCAGCTCAGGCTTTCCATATAGTTTACGTGTGAGGCAGCTCAGGCTTTCAAGGAGAGGGTTACTATGGAGGACTCTTGGGAGGAAGGAGGAGATACAAACAATATGTCGATTAAGATGCCGACTTGCGTTTGGAAGGTGGCTTCAGAGGAGTTTGGGGTAACCAGGGGAAGTCAAAGCGAAGCTAAAGACACCTGGAGGTGGAACAATGATGTCCAGAAGGCTATTAAGGAGAAGAAAGATTGTTTCAGACACATATACCTGGATAGGAGTGCAGACAACATAGAGAAGCACAAGGCGGCAAAGAAGACCACAAAGCGAGCTCTGAGTGAAGCTAAGGGGTAGGGCATATGAGAACCTCTACCGACATTTAAACACGAGGGAGGGCGAAAGGGACATCTATAAGATGGCCAAGATCCGAGAAAGGAAGACGAGGGATGTCAAACAAGTCAAATGCATCGAGGATGGAGAAGATCGACTTCTGGTGAAGGACGAGGAGATCAAGAATAGATGGCGACAGTACTTTAACAAACTGTTCAGTGGAGAGACTGAGAGCTCCGCCATTGAGCTGGACTACTCCTTTGATGATACCAACATGCGGCGAATCCAGGGAGGCTTGAAAAAGGATTAAAGGAGGCAAGGCGATGGGTCATGATTGTATGCCAATTGAGGTGTGGAGATGCCTTGAATACAATTAATATGGCTAACTAAGCTTTTCAACCTCATTTGACAAACAAGATGCTCGAAGAATGGAGGCAGAGTATATTAGTACCAACCTTCAAGAATAAGGGGGGTGTTCAAAGTTGTGCTAATTACCATGGAATTAAGCTGCTGAGCCATACAATGAAGCTATGAGAGTCGTCGAGCACCGCTTAAGAAGAGGAGTGACCAAAAATCTGTTTGGTTTCATGCCTGGGAGGTTGACATGAAAGTCGTTTTGTTGGGAGATACAAGGAGCAAAAGAAGGACTGCATATGGTGTTCATTGACATGGAGAAGGCCCAAGGTAAGATACAGTGAAATGTCATGTGGTGGGCCTTGGACAAACACTCGTCAAAGTGTTCGAGCAAGTGATGGCGACAGTGATACTTACAAAGAGCATACTTTGTTGGTGAAGTCCCAACAAAGTGCATTACCTTCATCAAGGACATGTATGATAATGTTGTGACAAGTGTTCGAACAAGTGATGGCGACACTAATACTTACAAATTAGAATAGGACTTCACCAACGGTCAACTTTGAGCCCTTATCTTATTGCTTTGGTGATGGATGAGGTCACAAGGAATATACAAGGAGATACCCCATGGTGTATGCTCTTTGCGGATGACGTGGTTGCTAGTCGACGATAGTCGGACAAGGGTTATTAGAAAGTTAGAGCTATGGAGACAGACTTTGGAATTGAAAAGTTTTAGGCTTAGTAGAACTAAAACTGAGTACATGAGGTGCAGTTTCAGTACTACTAGGCACGAGAAGGAGGTTGGCCTTGATGGGCATGCGGTACCACAAAAGGACACCTTTTGATATTTGGGGTCATTGCTGCAGAAGGACGGTGATGTCGATGAAGATGTGAGCCATGGAATCAAAGCCAGATGGAGCTACTGGCGTCCTCTGTGACAAGAGAGCGCGACAAAAGCTAAAGGGCAGGTTCTATAGGACGGTGATTCGACCCGTGAATTTTATGGCGCAGAATGTTGGCCAACTAAAAGGCGACATGTCCAACAGTTAGATGTAGCAGATATGCGTATCCTGAGATGGATATATGTGAGTTGGGACTTGGGGTAGCACCAATTGAAGAGGAATTTGTCCAACATTGTCTGAGTGGTTTGGGCATGTACAACACAGGCCTCCAGAAGCGCCGGTGCATAGAGGAAAGATAAAGTGTGCTGAAAATGTGAGGAGAGATCAGGTTAGAGACATGGGGGGAATCCGTTACGAGAGACTCGAGGGATTGAAATATCACCAAAGAACTAGCCTTGGACAGGGGTGAGTGGAAGTTAGTTATCCACAGGCCAGAACCATAACTAAGTTTCGAGATCTCATGGGTTTCAATTCTAGCCCACTCCAACTTGTTCGGAATTGAAAGGCTTTGGTGTTTGTATGTCATAACATACCACAGTTGATATAGAAAATAATGGTCTCATAAACAAAGTTTCTTCAATTCATGTCACAACTTTTTTGCGAGTTTGATTTAATTGTCAAACATTGCCTGTCTCCTAGTTAGCTGGAGTTCTGATTACTGCAATAATAAAACAAGCAGAATAAAAAGCACAATCAACATAATTGAGCTTGGCATGAATTAGCCTCAGGTGCAGGCAAAAGCCAAGTGGTTTTAGTTCTGTGGAATATGACCTTCAATAAGTAGTTTTCTGAATAAAATCTTCATTGTATACTTTTGTGACAGTTTTCCATTATATGTGTAGTTTTTTGTGGAATTGAATCATATTTTTATACTGCTGTTCCTAATTCTGAAGTACCACTCAAGCCTATTTGTCTCCAACAGTAGTTCTGCAGTAACTATTACTCAGTGTGCTGCACTCAAGTGATATGGAAGTCATGCTCCTATATTATCTGTTCCTTGATGCTGTTCTGGTCAAATTTTATTTATCTAACTAACCTTGCTGAAACTGATAGTGAAAATTTTGGTATTAACTGTTGTCACATTATTCGTGTTGTGATTAATTTTCGGGTCATTATTCTTTGTGATACATTCTTAGAAGTATGAAAGATGTCCTATTCTTATTTTATCACGTGAACATTGGAGTGCAGTAGGCTAATAGAAGCTTTGTCTCTAGGCCGTTAAGTTGCACAATATTCCTTGTTCTGTGGGATTCTCGTGGAATCCAGCGATGGGAGTCAGTGAAGTCATGAATATGTAACAACAGTTTATGTACATGTATTGTGTACTGTTTAATCATTTATAATTGATTGAACTAGACACATGCTTCCTGCATTTCACAAAATTATATTCATATAGTTTGTGCCCCCTTCCCCTTTTGCTATTCGGTCAATGCAGTGATGAGTTGAATAAAATACAGAACTAAGACCTTATATTTATCAAAAATATCTTTCACCCTTTTTGTGTTCCGATGAAATTTGTAATCTTTACATGACTTGTTATTGGTGCGAGGCCTTCAGTTGGATGCCTGATCTATTGAAATTCTGTATTTCAGGAAGCAATGTTGAAGGCTGAGCTTCGGAATATGGAGAGATCACAAAAGCGAGAAGGAGTAGATATGACATACCTAAAAAATGTGATCTTAAAGCTTCTTGAAACAGGTATCTGGAACTTTTTATTGCTTATTTTGCTGTTGATTGGCAGATGATATGAAACATCGACTTGGTATCTTTTACACAGGGGAGGTGGGGGCCTTGCTGCCTGTGGTTGCGATGCTACTACAGTTCAGCCCTGACGAGGTACTTGTGTACTAGTATATATAAAATGTTTTATCTTAGTGTCCTAGCTTGTAACCTCTGATATGGTGTTTAATTAGTACTCCTTCCGTCCCAAAATAAGTGTCTCAACTTTAGTACAACTTTGTACTAACTACAAGACACCTATTTTGGGACAGATGGAGTACAAATTAGCTCTAGAAGGCCTTAGATCCTATATTATTCTTTTTTTTGAGAATCGATCCTATATTATTCTAGCACATGGTTAAGTTACTCAAATATTAAGGTCACAGGGAAGTGTTTTATTCGGATAACACTGTTAAACATCATGTGACATGTCTATAGTGTAGAATTGGAGAGTACATTCTAGACTGGACAGTTATAATTCCTATAGCATAATATAGATATTAAAAGCCACACTTAGGAAAACCCCATCCTTCTCAAACTTGTACTCAGCATATAAGCATTAACTAACTGTCATTATGATTATGGTAGAGTTGTTCATCTAATCACCTTGAACAAGGACCTGGGTCTATCATCTATGGATTTCTGCTTCCATCCTGCTGACATGGGTTCAGTTTTGGGAGTGTTTTTTTTGTTGTTGTTACAAGAAGTACTAAGAATTTATCTTGCTTCCATGCCCGGTATAAAGTTTTCAATGATATCTTGGTTGGAAATTATCTGCAACAGGAATGACTGTTATAAGACTGATATTAAAATACCAATTATGCCAAGTTGACATTCTTAACCTTGGCAGCTCAATAAATGCCAACATGGCGTCCTCTCAAATGTCGCTTCCTTACCAGCTACAGCATTGTCAGATGGTGGATCGACACCAAATTCATTCTTTGGAAGATTCACATTCTAATACCGGTGCAAGATGTTGGTTTTGATTATCCATATTTTAGCAGAGGTAGATATTTACATTCATGGGGTGATCCAAAATCCCAGCGATTTTACTGATTGTGAAAGGTGACATTCTTTTGTTTGCATGCGTCTCATCTCTTCTTACCTTTCGTAAAGTAGTGTATATTATATAAATAGAAAACCATAACTATCTATATATGTACTTTCAATACAAGCATTCATTCTCAAAGGGAACATTATTTTTGATTTCTCGCTCTGGATATTTAGATTCAAAGACATTGCACTACGAGACGCCGACAGATCCTGGCTTAATTGTCTCTCCTCTAGTCTTGATCCCCTCTTGTAATGTACTCCCTCTGTCCCAATGTAAGACGTCTTACATTATGGGACGGAGGGAATACTTCCTTACAAAAACGTTTTATATTATGGGCCGGAGGGAGTAACAACTATGAGCGGTAATATATTCAGGTGCGGAAGCTCTCTCTTCCGGTGACCGTTCAAAAAAGGGAAGGTAGTCAAAAAAGGAAAAGAATTAGTGGGATCCGCAGGTCATGGTTTTCGTACAAACTGTCGTACATGTATGAGCATTCTAGAATCATGCTAATTTGGAAATTTTAGATTTAGTGGTCTATGTGTGTTTTCTAGAATGAGCACTGAATACTAGTAAAATTGCAGTATTATCATCTTTATGATTAGTCTACGACCGACCTGTTTAATATTGAACATACAATTATATGATGAGGGAAACTTGGTTCTGTTCTAACACTTCCACCATTCCAGAGTTGCGTTCATGGGCTTATAATTTCATCCACTATCAACAAAACTTGGTTCAAAACCAAACAGGAAGACGGTGTTTAGCTCCTAGGGTTGCGTTGGCGATGGCAATGGATTCAGGAGGCAAGTGTCACTATAGCAGAGTCGGAGTCGCCGTGTTGGTACAACCGTTGACAAAAATAGCTTCAACCATAGATGAAAAATGCTTCAACCGGCTCCAACCATCCATGTCCAAACCGGTGCCGCCAGGTGCTGCGACCGTCGGCATGAGACCTACACCATGTTGCAACCATTTGGGCATGGAGCTGGAACCAGTGACGTGAGATGCTGCAACTGCGGTCCAACTGGAGCTGCGAGGCGGCGATGTTCTAGCCACCGGGTGCGTTGCGCAATGAGGCCGCCGATGCGCTGGCCGGAGGTGCTGCAATTGCGGGGGCGCAACACAACGCATTGCCATTAGGTGTGGGACGCACGTGGCAAGCCACCGGCGGTGCAGGCTATGGCAGACGCGCGGCGAGCCATGGGGCTACACATGCTACGTGTTGGTACAACCGTTGACAAAAATAGCTTCAACCATAGATGAAAAATGCTTCAACCGGCTCCAACCATCCATGTCCAAACCGGTGCCGCCAGGTGCTGCGACCGTCGGCATGAGACCTACACCATGTTGCAACCATTTGGGCATGGAGCTGGAACCAGTGACGTGAGATGCTGCAACTGCGGTCCAACTGGAGCTGCGAGGCGGCGATGTTCTAGCCACCTGCGAGGCGGCGATGTTCTAGCCACCGGGTGCGTTGCGCAATGAGGCCGCCGATGCGCTGGCCGGAGGTGCTGCAATTGCGGGGGCGCAACACAACGCATTGCCATTAGGTGTGGGACGCACGTGGCAAGCCACCGGCGGTGCAGGCTATGGCAGACGCGCGGCGAGCCATGGGGCTACACATGCTACGGTAGACGACGACAACGGC